AAAAAAGGTTAAAAAGCAGCAGCTCAAACACCGACAGGACCAGCGATGATAATATGAAGCAGTCTGCCCCACAGAGCACTTGCAATGCAGTGGCGATTGTGCCAATGCAGGTCAATAACCATTAAATCAGGCTCAAAAGAATCAGGGACTGAAACTCTGCAGCATCATACATCATCCAAAATTGCACACTCCTACTGACAGAAGGTCTATTAACCATATATTGCCAAAGCTTTTTGTTTTTTCAGAGCACATGTCAGCCTTGTCCAAATTGGATAAGTGAAGCTATGCGGCTCAAAATAAGCTGGGGCCACCCAACTTTGTTGTTGTTGTTGTTGTTGTTGTTATCTGCCCTTGAGTCGATCTCGACCCATGGCAACCCTCGGGATGAGACATCTCCAAGGCCCACTGTCCTCCATCGCTCTGGTTAGTTGCTGCAAACCATTACCTCCCTAATAGAGTCCATCAATCTAGCATGCAGCCTTCCTCTCTTTCTGCTTCTCTCCACCTAGCATTATTGTCTTTTCCAGTGAGTTGTGCCTTCTCATGATGTGGCCAAAGTATGACAGCCTTCATCTAGTCCTCTTGGCTTCCAGAGAAAATTTTGGTTTGATCTTTTCATTATTATTATTATTATTATTATTATTATTATTATTATTATTATAGCACCCATTTGTTTGACTTCTTGGCTGTCCATGGTATCCTCAGCAATACACTTATATCCAAGAGACTGGTACTCAAAGTAGTCCATGCCCCATTGCTAATCCACAAGCCATCAGCTGCTAGTCCCTGGAAGAGTTTCCGGACAAGAAAGGAACAATTGTAGCCAATGGGCATAAATATTGCTAGTCCCTGGTTAGATAGAAAAAGAAAATTGTTGGTCCCTCAATTCAGCTAGTTTAAGAGGTCCTGCCCTATATGTCTGTTTCTGTTGACAATATTTCTAGCTTCAAAGGTGAGTTAAAGACTATACTGTTCAGGGAAGCATTCACAGGCACTGTATGATGATTATTTGATATTTCTAATTTGTTGCCTTCTTTGTATGAATATGTATTTTATTATTTTGCAGAATGTATGCC